TATATATATATATGTACCATTATTGTTCGCGAATAATTCATATGCAACGTAGTACAACTAATTTCTGACAGATAGTTGGCCAGGCATTTAAGTTTTTGCCGGCAGATAAATGGTTTTACAACGTGATACAATCATTGTTTTCGTCCCCTCTCGGAGCGCACACAAAAGAATCATTGTGAATTTGTGATATTTTATTACAGTGAAATTATGTTATGTCTAAATTGAACAAATGTGCGTTCAGTTCTCTGGGTCTTTTAAAGCATATGGACACACATCTGAAGTATTAAACGTAGACTAATAATAAAACAAATTACAGATTTCACATGTAAACTGCGAGACGAATTTATTAAGCCTAATTAATCTATCATTAGCAAATGTTTACTATAGCATTACATTATCAAATCATTAGGCTCAAAAGATTTATCTAGCAATTTACATGCAAACTGTGCAATTGGTTTTTTATCCCTATATTTAATATTCTATGTATATGTCCAACCATTTGATGTGACGTTTTTAGCCAAAATTTTTTTATGTAAACAAGGACAAAGAATTCCAACATGCATGGCTAGTATTGTAACTCTGTAAGTCATGGGTGACTTCATCACTGTCTCTTTCGCTTATTACAAATGGAGGTTCATTAACTGTTTTCAATTATAGGGCATGCAGCACAGATCATGCTTGTCCGATCATTTATATAAATTGAAGAACATAATTATTTTAGGACTCTTCAAGAACACTTCATCAGTGTAACTAAGTGATCGATGACTCCATCCTCCAACGTTATGATGAATATATGTTAATTGAAGTCAACTTATCTAAAATATCTTGTGAGGGCTACATATGTCTCGCTGTATGTACTTGTTTGAACAACTGTGTACGGAGACTTATTTTGTAAGATATATTGGCCCCATCGTTTCGCTTTTTTTCTAATAAGCCAAAACGGCTTATTAGGAAATACAAATAAATTTGTAGGTACGTTTCAAAAAAAAATTGTAGGTAAAACTTTTTTACATGTGTTCTTGATGACTTAAAAGCCAATGCTGAAAAGAAACTACGTTGAAAATATCTCACAATCAATCTCAAAATTTAAAAATTTAAAATTTGGCTTTTTCGTTAGCTTAATGGGCCATCCGATGGGAGCCTATATATGTATTAATTAAGCCATTAGTAGACAGATGTTTATCACTGAATTGCTTTCAACATTGATGCAACCTGTGAACACTAGCACAAAAGGCTCACAGAGGTCAGCGTTATAGGTGCCGAAAGTGTTAAAAGTGGCACCTATATAACTTTTCCCTCCTCCATGAGCTGAAAACACAAGAAAGACACATTTAAAAAATTATAGGTGTCGATTCTATAGAAAAACCGGTACTTATAATATAGATGTTGGTTTTTATTATAAAAAAACAACAACTTTAATTTATTATAAGGCCCTGTTTGGCACAGCTTCAACTCCTAACTCCAACTTACCTGGAGCCAAAGCTGTGCCATACAGTTCAGATCCTCTGTTTTTGGGAGTGGAGTTAACAGAGCTACTCCTTAAAAATGAACTACGGGGGTGGGGTTGGGTTTTTGCTGCTCCACAGCTCCACTCCACCCTAAAAGACTCACTACCCTTTAATTTTTAATATATTTACACAAAATATGCCACTGAACTACCCCTTCGTACCCCATCTCCTCCCATTCTCTCCCCTCCCCATATTCCTCCCTACAGCAGCGACGGGCGGCAGCGAGCGGTGGTGGCACGGCGCGGCGTGCGAGAGCCACGAGCGGCGGCGGCATCGGCAGGTGCACTGGTGGTGTTGGCACACGGGCGGCAGTGGCCCGCCGGTGGCGGCAGGCGGCGCACGGGAGGCACGCGGGCCATGCGCCGCCTACCACGGTGGGGCACGGGAGGCAGTGGCCTGCTGGCGTCCCTCCGGCGGCGCACGGGCGGCAACGGGCGAGCGGTGGCAGCCGCAGCCACGGCAGGGTGATGCGTGTTCGGCGGTGGTGGCAGTGGCCCGCGGGCTGACCGGCGGCGGCGGCGACGATGCACGGGCTGAGCGGTGACGGCCGTGGCAGGGCGACGTCAACCAGGTGTTCGACGAAATGCCTACAAGGGACGTGGTGGAGTGGAGCTAACTAATCTAGGCAAACACTTTCGTACCCACTTCAATTGCTGTAGGAGTTAGCTCTCGCTAGAGTTGGAGTTGGGAGCTGGGAGTTGAAGTTTGGAGCCCTACCAAACAGGGCCTAAGTGTTGGTTAATTAGAAAACCAACACCTATATACACTAAAAAACCAGCACTCCTCTCTCTCTCGTCCCGGTGGCCACAGCGGCGGCGTTCTCCCCTCCACCAGATCTGGAGGGAGAGGAGGCGGTGGTAGGCGGTTGCACCCGAGGGGAAGCGGCGGGCATCGGTGGTGCCCTCCCCAAGGGGAGGAGGCAGCAGGCAGCGGTGCCCTCCCCTTCGCCAGATCCAGCAGGAAGGGAGATGACTACGACGCGCTCCCCGCCCCCTCCCTTTGCTATGCTCCCCTCCACGTACTGCTGCTTTAGGTTCTTCGATTTTTATGGGCATTTTTACAGCAGCGGTGGTGTCGAGCGGCGGTGGTGGGTCGAGCAGCAGCAGCGGCGGCTCTATGTCTTATCTATCTGTTCTTGATGTGTATTTTGTGATTTTGTTTTTCATGGAGATTATTAGCTTCGATAGTACCCCGGTGGCTGGGAAGCTGATGTTCTTGATGTTCAGGTTCATATGTTCTTGGATTTTTTTTTGTTCTAGGCGAGGTGAAGGGGAGCTGATCGATGCATCAGCTCAAACCGAGGCGATACATTGAGTCGCCTTTTTTTTAAGATTCCTGGAACCTCAAAGGTGCCAGTTCTAAAACCGATACATTTAATTTCTCTCATCTGTACCGCTTTCTAGGTGACGGTTGAAAAATCCAGCACCTATGCCGGATTTCCAACCGGCACCTCCAGGTTTCTATGGTACTATGGTAGTGGAAGCTCCCGAGCACCAAAAAAAACCTCCAGGGAATACACAAAAGCCATTCGGGAGACTGGTTCCCTAAGGGCAACTCTTGTGGAACTAGCAGTTGGGAACTTCCCTCCCTTTGCGTATTGCGACATGAAGCATCTGTACACGTTGATAGGTTTAAAGAAAGCGAAAATGTTATAATTAGGTTAATTCTCTGTCCGAATTTTATAGATATAACCCAGCTAATATATATTTGGAAGTAAATGCAGTTTTGAACTCCATACATGTTAAGATTATAGGTACTGTATACCCACACGAACAGCTTATCTAAGTGTAGATAGGAGGTATAGACAATATATTAAAAAAATAAGAAAAAAGTATACTCAATAGTCCTCTTAACTATTTCGTTGTACCACAACCGAGCACAGCTTTTCCCCAAAAAAGAAACAAATTATACTTATACTAAGTACACTATACTACCTCCATGCGAAACGAGAGTGTGTAAGTCCACCTCGGTAAGTCTTAGATTTGATACGGGTGCTTGTACTTATGGTAAATATGCTTTCAGCGGTAACCGGTAAGTCCTAGATTTAAGCGATGTACCCATCGATCGATACCGATACACCCGTGATGATTTCATCATTCTCCAGATATACTGGCCTAGTTTTTCGAAGAGAATCATAGAAATAAGGTGTGCGTGTGTGGGTTTATCGGGTTGAGTGCGCACGTATTGTGAGTGTACAAATTTGTAATGTATTTCTAGAAAAATTATATATATTGCCTCCAAATTGTATGAAGCATTAAAGTAATCTCATTTTTTTTAATGTGAGATATATATTTATGTTGCTAGCTATATTATATACTAGTATAATGCCCGTTCGTTGCAATGAAAAAAAATTACTATGGCTTGTTCGTTAGTTGTGGGTTGGGAACCCATCTCCCCGCACAGAAAATGGAATAGTCCATTAGCGCGTGATTAGTTAAGTACTCTCTCCATCTATTTTTGATAGTCATATTTCCAAATCTGAAAAATTTATTTTTGATAGACATATTTCAATGCAACAACCTATCCCTTTAATGATTTTCTCGGATTTAATGCATGACTCTCCATTCTTCCACACAAGATTGGTTGGGCATCGAGAAATGTAAATATTAATGAATCGTTTGTTTACGATGAATGACTAGTAGCATGTTTAAATGGATGATAAGTAGAATTACTTATCCTTGGTCTATGTATCAAGATGAAATATGACTATCAAAAGTAGATGGAAGGAGTATTAGCTAATTTTTTTCAAAAATGGATTAATTTAATTTTTTAAGCAACTTTTGTATAGAGACTTTTATAAAAAATACACCGTTTAGCAGTTTGAAAAGCGTGACACGGAAAACGAGGTAGAGATGTTGGGAACTTGGAACTTTTGTATATAAACATTAGATGATTACGCTTTTAATCTTCATGATCTTAGCTAATTAACATTATATATTTTTTTATGAAACCTTATATATATTATATATGTTTCATATTGTGCGTTAGAGTGGACATGGTGGTAAGTGGTAACTAATTTTCCCAGGAAAATGACCAGTAAAAAAATAGACCAGTTTAATAAAATATTTGTTAATCGAGCCAGTTCATTCAGAGTTCTATAGAAATGAAAGAAAAATAAAGCACTTAATCTCAAGCCGGCGGCTCCGCCGCAAGCTGATTGGTCCATTTTTTACCCATTAACTTACTGCTACGTGTCCCTTAAGCATCTTGTACTGCTGTCTTTATGCCGGAGCAACGAAAACAACAGTGGCTTCTGGGATGTCTCGCGTCTCATGCGGTCTGTGGGCCAAACACTCCCGTCCAGCTCCACATTGACCCATGGACCATGCAAGTGTGTGCCCTGTGCTGGCCTTAGCCCAGCTGTATGCTGAGTTCCCGCAGGCGGATAAAGTCCACTTTGACTCCCTTAAAAAATAGGCCGAATCTAATTAGTACCTCTCAACCAGAAAACCAGATAAGACGACTCCCCCAAGTATTGAAACCAGTGTAATTTGATTTCCTCAGCGATTTTGAAGTGTGGTTTTGCTGAAGTGCTACTAACGTGACAGTGTTACCTGGTATTCGTCTCATGTGATGTTTAGGTGGCGTTAGAATAAAAAAATATTATATGTGAGACCTATTTGGAATTTACACAAGTATAATATGGGACCCACTACCATGTAGGACCCGCATGTCATTCTTTTCTCTGTCTAACCCTTCTTCCTCCTCTCTCTCCCTTATCTCTATCTTTTCTTTCCCCTTCGGCCCTAGCGGCGGCGGCAGGGCCTCCGCGAGGGGCACGCACGGCCTCCGCGAGCGGCGTTGCCATCAACGACGGCAGCGGCGAGTCGCGGCACACCGGGCAAGTGGCGCTCACCTGTAGCCACCACAACCACCGCATCCCGAGCCCGCGCCAGAGCTCCCGACGATGTAGTTGCCGCTCCCAGCCATGAATTGCACCGCGGATGAGAATCGTTGGGGAGGAAATGATAGAAACGAAATTCAACTGGAAGAACGAAATAAAAAAAAAACTGTTATTTATCTACAACGATGATTGGGAAGAAAAAAAGGCCAAGATTGCCCAACGGGTGCCATAGCATGGGCCAACGGCAGAGGATGTGAACCCAGTGATAACCATCAAACACCACGCTGATGCAGACCTGAGTGAGCTCTCTGAATATTCAGACCCAACAGGAATAAACTCTTACAGTCTCCACATAATTTACATAAACAAACTGCATATATACTACTACAAAAGAAGAAAAACCACATAGGTAGTATTATCAGCATAAGACATAACACAATAGCAAGTGCAATGCATCCCGTTTAGAATTAACATTTCCATATTTTGATTACAAGCATCCCTCTCTGTCATACAATAACAAAACATACCAACTCTGGTTGATAACACATTATACATTACTTTTTTTTAGATAGACAAAAAAAGAGGGATATGCCTCGGAATACTTGGGACCTCCTAAATGTCTCCTTAGCATTCACGCACCGTGAGCACTGACGAGATAAATGTCATGTTCACGAATAAAAAGATATAGGAACATAAACCTCTTTCTGAAGAGACGCTGCGAAGACAAAAAAAAAAATGATGAGATCATAAACTTTTTAAAGATGTAAATTTACATGCAGCTAATCTTTGATATGCAAATATGCAATGCAGGTACCCAGATCCACAAAAAAAGAGGTGTACGATTCTTACAAAGGATCAGTGTTCTTGGTGGATGTGGATGAAAAAGGTCTCTTGGCTCCATTAATAGAATCCGAAAATGGCGGCTTCATGGGATTGTTTTTCATTAAGGCCATGCCAGTTCTTGCTGCCTGCGTTAGACAATATCACAAGTTAGAAGACAATAAGCCCCTGGTTATTGGGAATAGCCGTACTAGCTAGGATGGATAGCTCTAGTGGAAACATGATGGAGTGCTCTAATGCCAAATTCCTGAAAGGCAGCAGGTATGAAATTAAGAAGATAAAAAATTGCTTGGAAACAAATAGAAAATTCAGCTGCTGTCGGAAACATGGATTAATTAATTGCTGCTCATAACCTCAGGATGGTGGAAGAGAGGGGATCAAGAGAGATAAGAGTTTAGTGTGGGCATACAGCAGCAGCGCCTGCGCAGGTGACAGAGGAAGAAGACGCATGAGCGGCAAGGAACAGGGGCGTCAATCTCTTGCACAGGACACGCGCGGCGGCCATCTCAGCTAGTGGACGATCGAAGTAATCCGATCCGTTCGAAAGAACAGGGTTTGGCCAGTTGGCCTCGACCGGTGCTGCATATAAAAAGGAGGAAGGAAAGGGCTCAATCCCGAACCAGAAACAGTCGACTCAATCAGACGCGGAATAATATCGGAAAACACAACATCCGATACGGTACAGCGGCCCACACCGTTTTGAAACCGAATCAAGAGGGGAATAAGTTCACTTTGACTCCCTTAGAAGTGACCCAAATCTAATTGATGACCCTGAACCGCAAAACCAGATATCTTAACTCCTAAACGGTTAAAACCGGTGTAATTTAACTCCCTCGGCGGTTTTGGAGAACGGTTTTACTGACATGGCACCTATGTGGCGATATTGACTAAGTCTTCGTTCCACGTGGCGTTCACATGGCACTTGTGTGGCATTAGAATTAAAAAATATGCATAGGACTCATTAGTCATTCACACGAAAAGAAATGTGGACCCACTGACTTGTGGGGCTCACATGCCTCGACTGCCCTTCCCCTTCCCCGCCCTTTTGCTACTACTGCCACTCCCACCGACACCAATCCCACCGCATTATCCAGGTCTCATCTTTCTCTTATTTCATTCTATTGCAATTGCAAACGACTTCAAGGAAGATTATTATCGATTTGGTTTTTGGTGCAGATACGGCGTTCTTCCTACCACGACGTGGTGCGGGCGACGGAGGTGGAGGACGTCCTCGACATCTCCGGCGTCCAAACCAGCCACACGGCGCCGGCGCCGCCGCCTCCCCATATAACTGTCAGATCTGCGTGACTGCGCCCTCGACCTCCTCGACCCATTCCGCTTCTGCTCCCTCGGTTGCAACTTGCAAGGTTTTCATCCTTTTCTTTACTTTCACCTCAATTTCCACTTCTTTATTTCTTCTCCACTATATACAATGCCGATGCAGTTTGTTCTGCTCATCTTTCTCAATCTCATCTACTACAAGTGGAGTACTACATTTTGTTTTCCATTTTCTTCTTTTTGTTTGTGTGTTATGTTGGGTCACGCTTAAGCCTGTGTTTGCAACCCCTTGTTTCCAATCCCTCTCTCTCGTTTTTCGCATGTACTTAAGCCTGCCTGCAGCTGGTGGACAGACACCAAGACGAGGGTGCCCGCGGGGCCACCGTGCAAGCTGGTAAGGTGACCAATGATGATGCCGCCGCCAGCGGAAGCAGCAAGAACTTCGGTGGCGCCCTAGCTCGCCTTCGCCGCCCTAGCTTGCCTGCCGCCACGCGCGCCACCGGCCGAAGGGGAAGAAGAAGGGGAGAGAAAGAGAGAGAAGCGAGAGAGCGAGGAGGAAGAAGGAAGGAGACAGGGAGGGCCCATGGCCCCACATGTCAGTGGGCCCACATTTCTTTTTGTGTGAATGACTAATGGGTCCCACATATATATATTTTAATTCTAAAGCCACTTAAGCGCCACGTCAACGCCACGTGTAAAGAAGACTCGATCAATACCACCACGTAGGAGCCACGTCAGCAAAACCGCCCTTCAAAACCGCCTAGAGAGTTAAATTGCCCTGGTTTCAATAGTTCGGGGGTCGAGATATCCGGTTTTACGGTTTAGGGTCATGGATTAGATTCGTGTCACTTTTAAGGGAGTCAAACTGAACTTATTCCATCAAGAGGCTACAAAAGTACTACTAGTAGATGGACCAGGATAAAGGGCCCATCCAAACAATCCGGGCCGTTCCGGCCTCAGGACATAAGGCCATCGAAAAAGCAAGTTTTGGCATGGGATAAGTTTACTTGAGGTCCCTTATGTTGAGGTGGAGTTTGAATTACGTGCTCGAACCGCAGTATTCAAATATAACGTGTCTCCTGTAACTTGTAAAACTGGAGATTCCAGACAATATGGTGCTGCTAGGGTCTAGCTAATGTGACGAGTCATGCATGTCCTGACTATTTCTTCTTCCTCCGAACTTTTCACTCACTCACTCTCTCTCTCTCTCCATCTCACGCTCCTCGTCGTTGCCCGAGTTCAATGTGTGGCCTAGGGAACACCGAGTTGAAGATACCGTTCGAGGACGTGTACACCGAGCTAGAACGATGACGGCGAGAGCGTACTGTGCTGTGCATGGTTGGCGACGCCGCCAACCAGTGGGAGCAAAGGAGAGTTACGACGCGTGCATGCTGCACAACCCATTTATAGCCCCGGTTTGTAATAGTCCCCGGTAGCAAACAGGACTTCAAATCCAGGACTAATTAAATATCGTTATCTTTAGTTAAAAACCCGAGACTAAAGATCACCAACTAGGAATAAAGATGGCGGAGATTTGGGTTGTTAGGCAGTGGGTATCACTACTAGAGAAATCATCTTTCGTCGGTCGTCCAAAGTCCCTGGTCAAAAAAGTTACCAGATCTAGTTAGGCCCCAATTAACTTTAGTCTCGGTTGGTATAAACAACCGGGACTAAAGATATCTTTAGTCCCGGTTCTTTACCCTAACCGGGACTAAAAATCCTCCCGAGCCGCATGCCCGCCAAGTCTGAGACTTATCGATCCCCTCCCCTTCCTCTCTCCCTCTTTAATATCGGCCTTATCCTTCTCATCTCGATCCAACAACCAGGCACATGCACTTCCCCTCTCCTCTCCTCTTCCTCCCCTTTCCTCTCTCCTTCCCCTCCCCACCAAGTCCTCTACTCTTGCTCTCTGGGTCGGCGGTGGCAGCCGGGCGGGAGCGGCGGTGGCCGGGAGGGCGTGGCGGCCGCCGGGCTGGGGAGGCGCGTGCGGCGGCCTCGCGATCCCCTTCGCTAGATCCGGCGGCGGCGGTGGAGCGGAGGGGATGGCGGCGGTGGCGGCCGGTGGCCAGCAGCGCCCTCTCCTGCCGGTGCGCGCATATGCATGCATGGAGGACGGCCGGGCATCCCCTCTGCCGGAGATTTGTCCTTCTTTTTATTTAGACTTTGTGATTCATTGTATTGATTGAGATGAAGAATTTGTAATTCATTCGATGGATTGAGATGTATAATTTCTTTTTGGAGAATCTATAATCCATTGCATGGATCTAAGATGTATAATCTGTGATATATTTTATTTGAGATGTATTTGATTTGTGGTACTTGGGAATTTAGTTTGATTTGGCGATTTGGGGTTTGATTTGGGGATATGCATTCCACTGGATTTGGGAGAAAATCACTAGCAAAAAAACAATGAAAAAAAATAGAAACTAACCGGGATTGCCGCTGCCCCTCTTTAGTCCCGGTTGGTAACACCAACCGGGACTAAAGATCTAATTTTAGTCCCGGTTATTTCATCTTTAGTCCCAGATTCGTTGTCTCGGTTGGAAAACTAGGACTAAAAAGGATTCCCAAACGGGACTATAAAAGGATTCTCCAGTAGTGTATACTCGCAAACGTTGTAGCCGCACAAGTTATTCCCCTGGTCCTACTTTGCACACTAAAGGAGAAACGACAAGATATTTAATATACAATTCTATTTTAGAGCAAATTAATGATTTAATATAATTTTGGAGCATGTACTCACTGGAATATTAAACCTCCGGCCAAGTTTTTCTTTCCAAGACCCTTTGTCCAAAGCACGGAACCGAGCCTAAGCCCTACGTACAGTTACAAGCTAAGATTAATTATTATCCGAGATCCACATAGTAGCAATAGCAAAATTCATAATGACAGTGGAATAGATGACATTACTTGTCTATCACTTCAAAAATTTTGTCAAAAGTAGACTCCTCTTTATCCATTGAATCATAGACATGGACTCTGTATGAGTCCATGTCTTTGAGGAAAAGGACCCAGTGGAATCCGTAAATTGCGTGAGATGGATTTTATTTGAAGATATCATTACTGGAAATGGATACAAATATATATTCGAACATATCTATTATATACTAAAAGTCTATTAATCTCCCTACAAACGCTCCTAAGCCGCCATGTGGTGTTCCTATAAACGCTCCTAAATTGCCACATGGCAATTTTCAATCTAACCGTTGAGTTTCACTTAAATTGGTGGACCCATTATTTTACACCATTAGATTAGATCTACTTGAAAAGTCATTGCTACACCCATACCGTATAAGCTTTATACATGAGAAAGTTTTACGAGAAAAATTAAAGTATATTCCGATCGGATATAAACCCATACTACTGCTCGCTTAAAAAAAATCAAACAAACATACGTGCAGCTATAAAGCCAAAAAAAGTACTACATTGTACATTGAAGCCGTATATACCGGAAAATCATGTCCATACGAGTGAAACCGCTTATACCGAAAAATCTACGTATGTACGCACAATTAAAAAAAACAGAAACTTTAGGTACTGTTTATTTAAAAATAAACGAACGTACATACGCGTAGACAAAACCAAGAAAAAAAATGTACGTATGCGTAGACAAAAAAACAGATGGTTTTTTAAAATAGTATTTTCTATAGTAGAAAAACAAAACTTATTACTTCACAAATATGGTAAAAAAACGTACAATAAAAAATATATGATTTGAAAATATATGTTTTCAGCTACGCGGGCATTCTTTAAAAAGTTGATCTAGCAATATATACAGTGACTGACTTTATTTATACATGCAAGTGAAGTGGTACTGAAAGAAATAATATATAGTCACTTTTCTTTTATAATTTTTCATATATGTTTGAATGACGTGCATAGGATAGTAAATGGAACATGGAAGAATATACATACATAGGATAGTAAATAGAACATGGAAGAATATACATTTTATGAATGAAGTAGATACTTACGTATGAATTCTAATTGTGATTTTTATCATAAATAACACAATGGTCCAAATAGATAAAAAAATGAAGGTATGATTTAAAAGTTAAAAATTATAATGAGTTAAAATATATTGTTACAAATAAATATATAATTAAGAAGGTTGTGGTTATTTAAAAATTATTGTTGCAAATATTTTCATAAAGAGAAAGGGAGAAAATGTAATCAAGAGGATAAACTTCCTACAAACACTTCTAATCCGGACATAGTACCCTATAAATGCTCATAGACCAGCATGTGGCACTCTAATAAATCATAGAAATTTTATAAAATAAGAAAAAATCCCGACCAATCGGTTTTCATTTAATTTGGTGGACCCATTATTTTCAACTATTAGATCTATCTTAAAACTACAAAATAAATTTATTTGTAAAAAGGCCCATGTCGTATTGGCACGACCGGCAAAAATACATGCATGTAGGTATGTAGGTATTCCTTCTTAAGAAAAGTACGTACCTACGTAGAGTATGTACACAGCTATTCCTATGAACAGTGCGTATACACACCGCGTCCCACATCCTTATTTTTTTTTCTTCTCATCATTTGGATTAGATAGAAAACCAAACTAATAATTTAAACTAATATCAACTATGCTTTGAGTTGTAAAAATATATGCTATTTCGAGTTGTATTCAAATTAGGCGTATGTCATCGAAACACCCATAAAAAATATAAATAAATTGAAAGTATAGATTATGTGATAGTTAAATTAGACTTACATTTTCCAAAATAAAAACAACTTCAAGTGTGTGTAGAATTTCAAAAATTACTCACTCTCTCTCTCTCTCTTGTAAAAAATACTGATATGGAAAAATGATGTTATAAATTTATCAGAAATATTTTTTTATGTATTATGTGTTTACTCTATTCATATATTATTAGAAAATTGAAGATCAAATATATTCATTTGACACCACGTCAATATGTTTTTTCTCCTACTTAGCCTTTGTTCGATCTAGCTCATTGACTTAGCGTATCCAGGGCACATGAAAAGTCACAAGTCATTAGCACAAGATTAATCAAGTATTAAATATTAAAATCTTGAAAATGGATTTATTTGTATTTTTAGAAAACTTCTATAATAAAAAATATTTTGTAAAATATGCACCGTTTAATAATTCGGTAAACATGGTCATGATAAATAATGAAGTAGCCACTCCGATAAGCACTTTAGAACTTAACCATAAATTTATTACTTATGCACTAAAACTAAATATGTAGTGTATAATATACTTTGTGAATCTAGAATAGTATAATATATCAATCGTATGTCCCCGATAAATTCTATGTAATAAGTTCTATATACAAACCAGTGTCAACAATCGTCAAGTTATATTGTTTATGATACATCCATGCACAATGCAATTAATAATTAGTTGACATCCAATATGCACGTGCGTCATCAAGCACCGAAGATATATGATGATACTTAGTGGGAACCCATAAAAAAATGATAGATAAGTAGAGGATGACACAAAATCACAACAAACAATAGTTGACTACAAGTAGACTATGAGTTTAAGCAATAGTGTTCCTATACTTCTACAAACACTTGTGAGATGTCATGTGATGCTCTAATAAATAGGAGGAAATTTAAGAAAAAATATAAGGAGAAAACAAAACATCTACCCATCGATTTGCACTTAAACCGATGAATCCATTATTTTCAACCATTAAATTAGATTTATTCAGGTAAGCCCTTACTTCTATAAACTAGCTAATCCCTCTCTATGCACGTACATATACAAGAGATGACAAAAATAAAAAAAAGAAGTGCGTGTATATATGCACGTACATATACGAGATGTCAAAAATAAAAAAGAAGTGTGTGTATATGGTCCACCACGTCTGGTAGTTTTCAATTTCTTTCTTTGTAGCCCTAAGGTTCTCCTCAAATTATACATATATGTAGCGACCACTCTTTGCGAGGTTGTCGAAGAAGCCACGCTGCCATGGCGCCGCTTCATGTCACCCTCGCCAATTTTCTTGAAAATATTTTTTTGACTAACGATATAAAACGCAATCATAGGCAGTTGTTTAAACATGTGCACAGCCACCCTATGAATATACATACGCACACCCTACCTCCTATGAGAGAGAAATATTTGTCAAAAAAAACATGAAAAAGAACGAACATACGAGAGACTACCATTCGGGAAAAAAAAACTTACGTACATACGTACAATAAAAAATGTCATATGGAATCATATTTTATCCCTTTTAATTATGCCGTTCTCATATAAATTGTGTTAACAATTAGTACAAATAATTTTGACAATATAGAGTATTTCTTTGTACATTACCCATGAACATGCGTAAGTGAATTAGATGTATAATAAAAGAAAAAAAACATCAAAACTCATATTATGTTTGCAAAGGATGATGATAGGTAAGTTTACATATAACCAAAACAAAGTGATTTTTTGTTTGAATATGATAGACACTATCATTTACCTTATCAAATTCACGGTATAAATATTTCCTTCTTTTATGGAAAGGTTACGAGGTAATCTACTGTTCTTATAGTTAATATGATGATATATGACTTTTTTTCAGATTTTTTTTATATAAACATAAAATAAATTGCCCGCGCATCTGCGCGGGCTACCTTCCTAGTTAAGGGAAAAGACAATCATTTACCTGGCCTGCTCTCTCGTTTACCCTTGTTGCAGGCATGAAGAAATCCATGAATTACAATGGAGTAGAATTCTTCACTTTTGGAGAAGATAACAAGCTCAAAGTATTTCCACCAAATACCTATAAATTCAAGCAAAAAAACTCACATAATATTAGACGAACTCCAGGAATGCATATTAGGCAATTTTCGGTACCAATAAAATAGTAAGAGGGAAGAAAAACGTTACATGCTGTCTATACTAAACAGTCTTGCTGAATATTTCCATTTACTAAATGACCTAATGCCAGCCTCAGAAAATAATGAAATAATACAGCAAAAGCCTATATATGTAGTCTTTGATGGAAAGCTCCCCGGAGTTTATATATCCTTTGAAGAAATAATAGCCTAAAAAATAGATGCAAAAATAATGGGCGGCCTATCGTGGAAAAAAATATATCGTGGAAAAAAATATATAGATGTTGATGAAGCTTTAAGTCAAGCCATGAAAATTTTGGGAATAAACTATTATATGGAGCCAGCTGCAAAGGAATATATACAAAAATGCAAAAGAGCCAAAAATAAGAAAGCTCCAGAAACCCCATACTATACGAATATAAAAGTTGAAGGATCTTCTAAAAAACCTTCATATAAAGAATGCTTAACTAAAGGGATGTATCCCTTAGATGGTGAATACATTGACTGAAAAATAATTGAAAAATTTGAAGAAGCCTCCTCAATTGAAAAAAGAGTTAAAAGAAGAAATACTTAAAGAATTAAAAATGATTGACAAATTTGAAGAAATAAAAAAGTTTTATGATGAGGAATTCGATGTATCTTTTTCTGATGTTGATACCGTAGATATGGGCGGCCATGGGCAGCCAGACCAATAAGCAATATAGCCAAATATAAGAAATTGATAATAAATTATCAAATTTTTGGGCATGGTAAGCCTAATAATAATATATAATTTTGAATCAATCCAAAAATGCTTTTCGGTGAATGACAATGAATGACGTTTCACTGCTAAAAACACTGTGGAGAATATAACTTTTGAAAAAGGAAGAGACACAGGTGCAAGGTATCTCCACTCCAGCCAAACAAAGGACGAAGTGAAGCAAAAGGAAGTGCCACTACATGGTGCGAGCCATCCCGTGAAACCACAGTGATAAGCATAGAGCACTGACGAGCTTCCTTCTCCAGCCCCTATAAAAGGAGGAGCCTGGCAGCTGAAGGGGAACAACAAAGACACCACTCCAGAGCAAAGCTACCAGCGCACTCTCATCCTCCACTATACCCCTCCTTGTAGTAATCTCTCTAGTCTTCCTTGCAAACTATATTGAAGCAAGGTGTGTATAAGTGTAAGGTAAGAAGAAAGCTTGTATGCAAGTTTATCTGTTCAGTATGAAGTAACTTTTCTTAAGTAACCCTGTTTGTTCGTTCTAGTCAAGTGTTTATGCTAGGGACCCGATAGGAGAAACCTCTTCGGTTGTTCTCATTTCTAGCCTGCATCTTGCATAGGCGTCTGGAGAATCTGTATCTGCAGAGAAGTGTTCCCTTCGGGTGGAACTGCCTGAGGAGATGATAAACTCTTAGCTAGATCGTTCATGACTAGGGTTATCTAATTTAAGTTGCTTCTAAAAAGACGATAGGTGAGGCATATGGTGAGTACCGAGTAGGTTTTTAAAACTTCTGTTTCAAAGCGCTAGCTGTGTTGGATTCGCTACCATGCAAAGATCCTGAATATTTAGGTTGAATTTTTCGAGTGAACAGTGTTTTCACCCCTGTGAACAGTGTTTCCAGCACTAGGAATATAGTGGTAAATAGTAATTAAAGCACTAGGAATAGTGTTACCAGTTGAATTGTGTAAGCAAATTTACCTTTTTTATTTAAGCCAGTAAATTTTAATTCTATAAGTGTACTAAATTTGCCTTTTAGTTCAAGTGGCAATAGTTCTTCTATATGCATCTTAAATTCTTCTATATGCTTTGGATTTGCTTCAATTGGGCTAGTCTTAATAATATACTCTGTATTTATTATATTAATTTTACACTCGATTGCATTTTTCTCCCAATATTTCATAGGAATTTCTCCTATAATTTGGATATCCTCTAATCTTTGGACGATCTTTTCTATATCCTTTTTAGATTTAATATCCCTATACCAATTTGGCGTGAATGCTTGTAGTCCTATGCATTCTATATTGCAATTTGATGTATAATAGTTGTCTATATTTTCACTGAGCTCATATTCATTAATTCTTTCTTCAGACTCTTTACACTGTGGAACTATATTACAACAAAGGAACTATATTGCACTCCAGAGCAAACATACCAGCGCGCGCTCTCATTCTATATTGGAATTTGTAATATTCTTTTATCTAATAAGGTTATTAAAACTTTAGCTCCTAATTTCTTACTTGTCATTCCTTTGATTCCTATTATATACATTCCTTGGTGAATATACTTATAGCCTGAATATTTTAACCCATTTTCAAACACTTTAGCTACTATTTTTAATTCTACTGGTTTGGTTAATACACTTAATTCTATTTCTCTAGATATTCTATATAACCCATTCTTATTCTCGAAGAATCCCATGTTATAAACTTGTTGAGGTCTTATTGCCCTCAAAGTATCCCGTTGATATTTTCACTTCTGGCGCGAATGCTTGTAGTCCTATGCATTCTATATTGGAATTTGATATATAATAGTTGTCTATATTTTCACTGAGCTCATATTCATTAATTCTTTCTTCAGACTCCAAATTGGGTGTTTCAAGATTATCGAGGTAAGTCTAATATGATCTTTGCAGGTTGGCGAATCCAACACAGCCGGCGCTTTCAAACAGAAGTTTTAAAATCCTACTCGGTACTCACCATACGCCTCACCTATCTGTCTTTTTAGAAGCAACTTAAATTAGATAACCCTAGTCATGAACGATCTAGGTAAGAGTTTATCATCTCCCCAGGCCCTTCCACCCGAAGGGAACACTTCTCTATGGATACAGATTCTCCAGACGCCTATGCAAGATGCAGGCTAGAAATGAGAACAAGCGAAGAGGTTTCTCCTATAGGGTCCCTAGCATAAACACTTGACTAGAACGGACAGACATGGTTACTTAAGAAAAGTTACTTCATACTGAACAGATAAACTTACATACAAGCTTTCTTCTTACCTTACACTTATATTACACACCTTGCTTCAATATACTTTGCAAGGAAGACTAGAGAGATTACTACAAGGAGGGGTATAGTGGAGGATGAGAGTGCGCTGGTGTTGACGTGAAAACACGAGGCTTGAGAGATCTGCTTAACTCTAGTGCAGGTCCAAAACTTACCTTTGGGTGTGTGTGCGTGCCAGTTGATTTGATCCTGCAATCAACAAGAAACAAATACAAAGAAACCGCGGTTAAATCCATAAACGATAGCCGATCGGCTAATTGCTGATGACATATCATTTATCTTCGAGCCGATGTTATATATGCATCAATCGGCAGTCATTAATAAGTAAGAAAGAACTAAATCTACTTGATCGGCTGTAGATATTAACAATATATAATCCTTATATCGATATATACTAAAATCAAGTGATTGGGATAGATCGGTCGCCATGCCGAGACAGTATAAATCACTTAGATCGAAATATATACTAATAATAAGACTATATATGTTGATAGCATAGCCGATCAGATAGATCTAGCATGTATCGGCTAATACTCCGATACCACTCTATATTAAGATATTAAAGCAAATAGAATATACCAAACAGAAAGCCTAATATACTTAAATGCAACAAGATCTTAATATAAATGACAGATTTAGCATGTCAATAAAGCATATAAGATAAAAGCTAAATCAGGAAAGATCGGCTGAAACCCCGATGCTACCCTAATCGGCAACCAAAGGCAGGCTAGAGATTGAGATTCTAATCATGACTCATAAGATCAAACTCAACTAATGCAGCTATAAGTATGAAAAGAAGAACAATATCTAGATAATCAAGTCGTTGGATGTGTCATAGAGTGGTGGATATCCTATATAATCTAAATCAACATCGGTATTTAACCTAATCGGCTGCCTTCTACTGACAGATGTTAGCGAATTGTAGGTTAGATAACGATATTGCCGGAGATCATGCAAGATATATGATAACTCGACGAATTACATAAACAAGATTAGAGTGTCATGAAGATGGAAGCACTAATCCCGAGAACGCAAGCCGCCATAACAAGTTTTACCTCTTGTTGAAGATTGAAATCGATGCAGTCAACTCGAAAGCAAGAACTTGTCGAAACAAAACGAAAGTAAAAAGGGTGCCGATGCACCGAGATTGTATTGAACGTGTGTTAGTTTTATTACATGGGGCTCGGGGCCTATTTATACCCGAGAATTACAAAATATGTCCATATCGGACACGACTCTTATCTCTAACAAACTCTAAGATACCGTCTCGATTCTTCCTTCACATCCGATCCTTGGATTACCAAATTTGGTCGTTAATAGCTGGTAGCTTTGCTCTGGAGTGGTGTCTTTGTTGTTTCTCTTCAGCTGCCAGGCTCCTCCTTTTATAGGGGCTGGAGAAGGAAGCTCGTCAGTGCTCTATGTTTATCACTGTGGTTTCACGGGATGGCTCGCACCATGTAGTGGCACTTCCTTTTGCTTCAGTTCGTCCTTTGTTTGGCTGGAGTGGAGATACCTTGCACCTGTGTCTCTTCCTTTTTCAAAAGTTATATTCTCCACAGTATTTTTAGCAGTGAAACGTCATTCACTGTCATTCACCGAAAAGCATTTTTGGATTGATTCAAAATTATATTGATTTAAAATTATATATTATTATTAGGCTTACCATGCCCAAAAATTTGATAATTTATTATCAATTTCTTATATTTGGCTATATTGCTTATTGGTCTGGCTGCCCATATCCACGGTATCAACATCAGAAAAAATACATCAAATTCCTCATCATAAGCCTTTTTTATTTCTTCAAATTTGTCATTCATTTCTTTCTTTAATTCTTTAAGTATTTCTTCTTTTAACTCTTTTTTCAATTGAGGGGAGGCATCTTCAAAATTTTCAATTATTTTCCAGTCAATGTATTCACCATCTAAGGGATCCATCCCTTTAGTTAAGCATTCTTTATATGTAGGTTTTTTAGAAGATCCTTCAACTTTTGTATTCATATAATATGGGGTTTCTAGAGCTTTCTTATTTTTGGCTCTTTTGCATTTTTGTATATATTCCTTTGCAGCTGGCTCCATATAATAGTTTATTCCCAAAATTTTCCTGGCTTGACTTAAAGCTTCATCAACATCTATATTTTTTTTTCCACAATAGGCCGCCCATTATTTTTGCATATATTTTTTGGGCTATTATTTCTTCAAAGGATATATAAACTCCGAGGAGCTTTCCATCAAAGACTACATATATAGGCTTTTGTTGTATTATTTCATTATTTTTTGAGGCTGGCATTAGGTAATTTAGTAAATGGAAATATTCAGCAAGACTGTTTTGTATAGACAGCATGTACCCTTTTCTTCCCTCTTATTATTATATTGGTACCAAAAATTGCCTAATATGCATTCCTGGACTTCGTCTAATATTATGTGGGATTTTGGCTTGAATTTATAGGTATTTGGTGGAAATACTTTGAGCTTGTTATCTTCTCCAAAAGTGAAGAATTCAACTCCATTGTAATTCATGGATTTCTTCATGCCTGCAACAGGGTAAACAAGAGAGCAGGTCAGGTAAATGATTGTCTTTTCCCTTAATATGTTCGAATATATCTTTGTATCCATTTCCAGTAATGATATCTTCAAATAAAATCCATTTCCTAGTAGAACTCTTTTTCCTATTAAGTTGATTATAATATCCACATATTGCTTCACTGTGGTGACCCCGAAATCCTCGCTGGTCCGGAGGCCACAGTACAATACCTGTGTAACATGTACCAGTCCCAGGATACACAAGCTAGTACACAAAGAACATCGGTGATCCAAAGCAGTCTAATAATATTACATTAGTCGGATAGTCCTTACATAAGTTGCCATCGTGGACAGACCCCAGATGGACAACGATACGACACAACAAACAATAACAACAATGACAACAACAGAGCGGAAGCGAACAGCGGAAGACGACTTAACGACTAAGTTCTAGGCTAGGCACCTAAGGGACTAACTTATTCCACAGGCATGGTTTGGGAACTAGGCCCGAAACTCTAAAAGTCTTCATAGTTGGCGTGCTCCTGAAGATACTCTTCGGCGGTTGGATTATATCCTCCTTCTTTATCTTCAAAGCCTAATATAATTATATGTAGAGCAAGGGTGAGTACTTTTGTACTTAGCAAGCCATAGGAAAGATGACATGTGCGGCTACCAAATGAGGCAAAGGGTTTTATTTGTGAAAACTAGCTGTTGCTCAAAAGGTGTCTTTTTGCAAAGCTCTAGTGTGTCAAGTTTTAGTTATTGGAAAGAGGCTCACACCTCAATCCATTCCACAAGTTGCTTTGCAACAACTTGTCACAAGTAATTAGTGAATATATGTTCTTCTACCAACACCTTAGATCTTCTCTTGCTTCTCCAACTCTTGCACTTGTTTCCACTTCACTTCTCCACGAGCTGTCTCATCTCAGAGCACAACGAGCCATCTCAGCTCAGAACACCACGAACCATCTCAGCTCAGAACACCTCTCGACCAAACAATCCAACTCCTAGTCACACTATGATGCCAATCGACATCCCAGATCACACAGACCTGTTCCAAACCACTCAGGTTTGTCGTCTGCCACACAGGCTAACTCTGGAAATGATTCCCATCCCACAAACCAATTTCACAAACATATACAAACAACACTACGCTAAGAGAATCACCTCACATTCGCCCTTAACCGTGGGCACGACTGTTCAAACAGTTTAATTAAACTCTGCAGAGGTCATACGCTTTACCCACATGACACAAAACTGACACCGGTTGCCCGTCGGCACCAGAAGTTTGTTGCAAGGCCTTTCCAAAGCTAGTCCATAAAAATCCCATACCACGTAGTAGGCCGAGTCTCACGACAAGCATCAGGCAGTCTCAGCCCTCGTCTACTCAGGGTACACTAGGGATGCTCCTCCACCTTATCGGTACCGTATCGCCACAATAGAGGCGGGGCCACTCTTGGCCAAAGATCTCATCAAATACACGCAACTTCGTCTCCTCATCCCCAGTGTCCCACTACTACTGGCATACAAGATAGTCATGGACTAACAAAGTACTTTTCAAGGGGTATGCCATAATACCCGTGTGGTCGCACTATAAGATGCTTGGATGGAATTCCCAAAGGAATCGGTCCTTAACGACAATACATAGCTAGCTACACAGGCTCAGCCTACATACCATCAGGGTTCGCAAACTAGTTTTACTTCGCAAACACACCGATAGGGAGCATCGGGTTTTGAATAGTTGATTGGAAATCCAGGTTTCCCACACGACAATACAATCGTGGCAGGTCCAAGCAAAACTACCTCGATGTTCATACCCGTAGGGAAAGATGTCGGTGCATAATATGTGGAGCTATAAAGGACAGGTCGTCCAATATCCTACAGAATATAAGTGCGACTAATAGGTAGATCCATCGGATGCGTTCGCAACACGAGGCAAAACAGTTTAACGTGTAACCTAAGCATGCACATTTGCAAACAACATAATTTTGCACATATAGGAAGCAATATGGTCAAAGGTGGCTTTCCTTGGTCCTGCGGAGGTTCTTCCTTGACGAGAACAGCTTCCGGTTCATCCGCGGGATCGGCAACTATACACAAAAAGAGCAAAATCAACACAAGAGCTAATAAAGTAGCTCAAACAGTAAGATATTATACTGCCATTAGATAGATCTCATTTTTAGAAAAATTATGGAAGTGGAACGAAGTCAATTGGAGTCACGGTTTAGGAGATATGAATTTTCGAAGATTGAAGGAATTTCTATTCAAAGGAGAAAGAGTTTCTTTATGGGAAAAAGGAATATTTCGGGATAAACCCCTTGCGGGGCCCGCTGTTAGTGGCACGGGAGGAGCCGGCGCAAGGTAGACCACGTCCACGGAGGGCGCCACACAGAGAGGTGGTGGACCGGGCTCGTGGTCCACCGGTCGGTGCGTGTGGGGCCCAGCCATCATAGGCTCGGCGCACATGGACCTGGTGTACACACGGGCACACCGCAAGGGAATGGATAGGGTGGGACCCGCATGTCATTAGCACAAGGATTAAGAAGGGATTAAAACAAAGATTAAGCACAGTGGGCCCACATGTCATTGAGACAAAAGAGGAGGATTAAGGAGGTAATTACGGTGCAAGGATTAATTAGGAATAGTGGGGTACACGGGTCCCACATGACAGTGTCTCACATCCTTCCCTTTTCTTCTCTCTTCTCCTCTTCTCGTTATCTCCTCTCGTTCCCCTCTACTGCTCAGGGTTCCCCATATCGTTTTGACAGAGGTTACCGCACCCCCACGGTAGGACGATTACCGCGATAATCGTGCGATAATCGTGAAAAATCGAACAAAAATCATATCCAAACATTTGAATTCAAATCCTCGGCGGTTTCGCAGCTTTGAC